CCCCCCCCCCCAAATTTTTGATTTTACCTCCTACTAATGGCAACCGAAGCTACATATGTAACTCCCCCCGAAAAAATTTTCTAGTTACAGCCCTGGTGCGGGGGGTGTAATAAATCGAGGGGTGTTTCGACGAAACAGGGAAGAAATAGAAGCACCAAAGCGGGGGTTAGATAGGGCAAAGGGATGTAGTGTGCGTGCGAATAGAGCGAGTATATAGTTGGGAATGTTACGCAGCAACGCGCATGCGAGAGCATCGACGCCGTCAGTCGCCGACGAAAGAAGAGCAGCCTCTCGACGTTCAAACAGTCCGTGAGAGAGTCGAACGTCAGTTGCATGTGCGCGCTTACACATCGAGCACATATACAGAGTGAGAGAGAGAGAGAGAAGTGCACGTATTTCATTAGATATAATAAAGCTCTCATTAATTCAAACATTAAATGGCTCTCTTCATCACGCGGGCCAATGGAAAATAATTGCACCAGCCGTCGTACACATGTGATCCCATTGTTTCTGATCGTCGCGTGTCATCAGTGATCGTGGTTGTTATTGTTATCGTTTGTTGTTTTGTTTACGATGCTGTGGATGCTCGGCAGTCTGGTGGCGTTGCAGCGTCTCGGCTGCTCGACCTCGCTGCTCTACCTCAGTGGCTCGCCGACTACGACGACCGGCCACACGCGTTATTACCGATTCAAGCGGTCCCAGGCACAGTCCGCCGCGGCGGCCGTCACGGGGGGTGGCATCTACGAGCCGTCCAATTGGACGGCCGAACAAGCCGAGGACTTTGTCGGTAACGGTGAAATCAGCGACGAGGATCATTGCCAGTCGTTTCTCTACGCCCTGCTGGACTTTGCCCAGCTCTACTACGTGCCGAGCATCATCCTGCTCGGTCTCATGGGCAATCTACTGAGCTGCGTGGTATTTCTCAATACCCATCTGAAGCTGCGCTCGTCGAGCTACTACCTCGCCGCGCTCTCGACCACCGACTTTACCTTCCTGGTGACCCTGCTGCTCGTCTGGCTCAACGGCACGATCGGCTGGCAGGTCTTCAACAAAGACGGCTGGTGCCAGGCCCTCGTCTACGTGAGCTCGGTCGCGAGCTCGCTCAGCGTCTGGCTCATAGTCGCGTTCACCGTCGAGCGCTACATCGCCGTGCAGTACCCGCTGCGCCGACCGAACATGTGCACCGTCTCGCGAGCCAAGAGAACCGTGCTGGGCCTGCTGGCCCTGGCCATGTTGTCGCACACCTACGCCTTCTTCACGGCCGGCATCAAGCTGGGCTTCGACGGCAACGAGTACTGCCAGATGAAGGACGACTGGATGGAGGTGATGAGGATCGTCAACAGCATCGACAGCCTCGTCAGTCTCATAGTGCCGCTGGTGCTCATCGTCTTCATGAACTCGATGATCGTGAAGAATCTCGTCAAGTTCAATCAGCGATTCCAGCCGGCCAATTATACGGGCTCGACCATGGTGATGGCCGCGTCGTGCACGCCCGACGACGCCGCCGCCAGGCCGGCTCTCGATCTCAATTACATCGTGCCGGTGAGCCGTGTGAATGTGAGCTCGTTCGTGGCAAACATCAGCGATTGGATTTTCATTTTCGCGACGTTTAATTTAAAGGCCGTGTTACGTGTCACCGACGAATTATCGACAACGTATCGCCGCGAAATCTGATGAAAGCGAACTAGGCTAATCGAATAGCTAATCGGATAGGTTCGAAATAAAATATTTTTTAACTACTTTTGCGGTAACATGAAAATGAGGTGTATAGTCTTCCCTTTATTTTTCGAACTATTGCTCATACGATTTTCCATGTTACTATAGATCCTGATGGGTAATGTGTTTGTGCGAATGTCTTTAATTTTGAATCATGATGTCAGCGTAATTGGATATCATGACCATTATTCACATATGATATTATATCGATCATTTTTAGGTGTTTTCTTTTCTTTGTTTTATATTACTTTTTTTCTTCGAACAGTTCGTTTTCTCTAATGATATATCGATGCTACAGAAATACTATTTTGCACTTCTATAACGATTTAATCGCGAAATAAACTTGAAAAAAACTAACTTCGATTGAACTAGAAGCTAACTAACTTGAAGCTCTCTGACGATGTATATCGGTCGCGTTTTTCGTTAAAATTTTATTTAATCCTACTGCTTCAAAAAGTACCCGCACTATTTTCTCAATTAATTTTTAACTTCGTAAATCCTTTCATTTATTTCCTGACTCGATTGTTTCGAAGAAACTTAGGCCCCGTCACACAAAATCTCCATCTAAACCTTAATTGAAAAAATAAAAAAAGATAGAAGAAGAAGAGAAATAAAATCATCGATAAATCATAGACGCGTGCGATTGTTTTCTACGAAGTGTCAGCTATCGTTTAGCCGATGTTACAATCAGACGCGAGCGCGTACTCCGTCCTGTAAAACTAGTGTATTATCGATTCGTGACGATCTATTCTCGCGACGAGTCTAATATTAGATAACGCGCGTTATGCGCTATCAGCCTTTTTGACTAGACAATCGCCGTTACACACACGTTATGAAGGCTCGGAGCGGCTTCGCTTAATTCATTTTTTTTTCAATAAATGCGGATGCATTGCCATAATAAAATATTAGAAATATATATTGAAATAAATTAAATGGAGCGATTAAGATCAAAATAAAAGGGGATACAATTGTTTTTCTTTATAAATCGAACGAGTACTTTTCATTAGTTTTATGATTACTTCGATCGATGCAACCCTTTGCAGTGACGTTTACTTCATTATTTTCATTACAAATTTTGAATGCGACCTTTTAACAAATAAATAAAATGAATTTGCTACGAGCATTTTTCATTACTTAATTTTTCATTACTTCACTACTTAGCATTTTTTAATACAATGTTGAATTACATTATCTTAATAGACATTCAAGATAATTGCTCCTTTGTCGTTTAATCCCTCCAAATATGTCAGGAAATTTGTCGTATTTACAAAGAGACAAACGGGAATTTTCTTTTGATTTACCTTCATTAGAATGTGAGTTTTTAATGAATTAAAATTCCATAATTGTCATAATTTATTTCGAAATTCAACTCACAAAAACAGAGCGTGCGATCTTTTCGATGCTTATATTGCAATTTTTATAAGTGATTTTTTCCTAATCTCGTGCAGTTGATCTAGTTAAGCTCTCTTCAGGGCCAAGGTGATGTCGCTATCAAATAACCCACTCGTGATGCGAATAAGACAATCAGGATCGCCTACACGTACGAATTTTGTAAATGAAAAAG